GGAAGGCAGCCCATCTAGGAGAAGGAAAACTCTGATCCCAAACCCCCATGCCGTGAGGAGAAGGAGGAGGCGCTGCCATCACCCATGCGGTGAGGGAGCAGGCTGGGTGGGTGGGACTTGTCAGCCTTGGAAGGCAGCCCATCTAGGAGAAAGAACACTCCGATTCCAAACCTCCACTGCCTTGTGGCTGTATCAACTGATGGAAAAGGTTTCAGGAGTTCACCTCGAGGCAAAATCCAGAGCCGGAGTCCCAGGGGCAGTTTGAGTCATTCTGGCAACTCCTGTGACATCGCTGGAACCAGTTGTATTGGACGATTTCCATTGGACTATTTCAGTTATGTGGAGAGGGGGGATTTGCTGCTTGGGTAACAGCCTATCCATATTATTTTACCCAGTCTTTATGCCCTGGAGAGGACACTCCAGCTTTGCATACAGCGTGGAAGTCCTCCATACAGAGCACATTACCATAGTGTCTCGAGACTGAAGGACTCCTATGAATATGAGTACTATTTTTAATGACAATATTAATAGACTATAAGGCCAAGAAATTAGAATCACCAAATGAGTGGAGGCTGGTTTTCCTCTCCTCACATGGATCCTTAAGTATTAACATTTGTTCATTCCTTTGAGGATGTGAGAAGTGTCTCAAATGGAGCAAAACCTGACAAGAATATTGTTTTGAGGTCAAGCACATGAGGAAAGAGAGTTCCAGAGCCCCAGGTGTTTCTCTCATGGCTCTTCACACATGGAGGGTTACTTTATGAGGAGGAGAACCTTCTCTACTTATGGAAGCTCTCCTTATGACTGCAAATCCTGATTTTCAAGAATGTTGAGCCTTGATAGGAGAAGAATCTTTTGTCTTCAGACCTTTGATCTCCAATGGAAGACAAAAGTTCTATGGCCCTGGTCGCATGAGGAAAATATTCTCTAGTTACCCCCAGGTGGATTGTTGCCTTTTCCCCCAGTCACATGACACACAGTCAAGATCAAAACATTTTCCTGACAGGCTGTGTAACTGCAGTTTATTTGTCACTACCTGGCAGTGTTGTGTTATTTTGTCCCTCTCTTGTATCTGTGCATTCCTTACTAGAATTATTTGTATGCATTGATATTGTGAGGAAACAGTCACAGTGGGGTTGCGGGGGCGGGCGGGGGGAAGGAAGTGGCAAATTAAGCTGAAAGGCAGAGGAGATGGTGCGTGATGTAGATGGACCAATGCAATTCCACAGGAGCAGCTAGCACAACAGATGACACATTTGGAAATAAATTGTTACCACTAACAGTTCTTGGGACATTTGCCCTGGTATATATACCACATGACTGTGAGAATCAGTACAACAGAGTAACAGAATATTATTTATCAATAACAACAGCAGCAGCAGCAACAGCAACAAAATGGAGAATATTTTTAAAACAACAGAAATAAAGGCTCTATAAGAAACAACAATTTGAAAATAAATCAAACAGCTGGAAAAAGAAACCACTACATGGACAACACTTGAGAAATATTGATGGAAAGCATGATCATAATTAAACATGGGCATGGCTAAAACTGGGGACTCTTAAGAAAGAAACTGAAAGCTTGATTTTTGCTGCACAAGAACAAGCACTCCAAACCAACGTGATGAAAGCTAAGATATTTAACAGCAGATGTTAACTCTGCCAAGAAAAAGATGAAACTGTGTCACACCTCATCTGCGAATGTCCAAAGACTGAACAAACAGATTACAAAGTTAGACATGATAGAGTGGCAAAGTTAGTGCACTGGTCATTATGTAAAAAATGTAACTTGCCAGCCTCAAAAAACCCACGGGAACATAAGAAAAGGTGTCAGAAAATGAGGAAGTCAAGATATTGTGGGCTTTACAGATCCAAAAGGACAAACACTTTGAATATAACATAGTAGTAATAGAAGGAAGAAATGTCCAGATCATTGACATTGCAATTCCAGGGGATGCCAGAGTTGAAAATAAAGAACTGGAAAAACTAACGAAGTACAGAGACCTGGCAATTGAAACGTCTTGCATCTGGAAGAAACACACTTCAGTCATTGGGGCTTTGGGAACAATAGCAAGAAATTTCACACAGTACTATAAGCAGTTGCAGATCTCATAAATCACATCATCAGAGCTACACAAATTGGCAATATTAGGAACAGCATACATACTGCGTCAATATTTAACAGATACTTAGGTTTTTGGTTAAAACTTATATCTGTTATATAATACCAGTCAATCTTTTTATAATTTTGACTATGCCTGGAGTTAAAACAACAACAACAACATCCCTCATGCCATTTAACAGATATATGAGACCGCTGGGAGAGATCAGTCAGAGTTTTGGAGTTTGCTGTCATCAGTATGAATCCCTGAACCAAGGCTCATATACATCTCTGTTTGGGATTCATAAATTCTTTTTAAGAAATAAATGAAAAAAAATCAGAAAACAAATGAAAGGGTGCCTCTCATGGTCCCCCCCCCCCAATTTGTGATGATCCAAAAGTCATATCCCTAGTTATCATACCAGGGATTCTAATGATCCCCGATGTGCAATTTGCTTTTTTCATAGTTGGCTGACTTTTACACTGAGCTAGTCACCACAACTACGACACGTGTTTCTTAGCTGGTTGGCTCAGACTGCTTTTCCATTTCTAAAATATCATATTTGTAAGTCACACCATCACACTTTATGTTCAGTTTTGACATTTCTGTTATGAGGTTCAAGATCCAAGTTGCTGTACTTGTTAAGGTTTGCTACTTAAAGTACACAACTACAGATTTTACTATAAGTAAAAGCTTTTTTCTTTCACGGTATTTGATTTATTTCTGATCCTGAAGAGTTATGAGGCAAATCTCCGTAATTACTAAACATAAATCATAGGCGTCATGCTAATGTTAATTTTACTATCAAGCTTGAACCAGTGTGCAAAGCAAATATTCAAAGGAAACACTGTACTTCAGCAGTTACAAAATAAGTAGATTTTGTTACAATTTTACTTCACGTTAGACATTCATAATTTAAGCCTTGAATCTAACACTTACCGGTACAGTTAGTGCAGTAACAGCTGGAGGGGTAAATGTTGGGTCATTCTGCTTCTCTTGATAGATGACACGATATTGAGAAATAGCACCATTAGGAGAAGTGGGGCTGGTCCAATTTAGAAGCACAGAGTAAGCACTTACAGCTTCAGCCCAGGGGGCTTTCATGCCCCAAGGAGGAGCTTCTAAAGTCTGTGTTGAAGACCAAGAACTATCTACAGAACCCTTCAAATTCTGAGCTCTGACACGGTATTCATATTCGGTGAAGGGATGAAGAACATCCGTAGCATCAATAAATTCTAAAGCACCTTCAGACCAGATGAACACAAGCAGTTCCTCCTGGGTGCCCACCAGACGTCTGAAAAAATGACGAAAAATGTATCAATAAATAAGTTCCAAACTGATTAGGGTCATCCGATGCAGAAGTAAAAAGCCATGTAGCCCTAACGCAGATCAGTATTTATCATTAACAATATACTCTTTCTTGACAGATCTTGACCTTTGTCTGTTTTTAAAAAAGTAAAGTCAAAATGGAGGAAATTATCATGCTAGGCTTCTTAATGTAACAGGAAGAGTGAAAGTTCCTTAAAGTAATCTTTTTTAAAAGGGTGAGATTTCTCATCTTCCTAAGAAAATGAGAAGCTGTCTGGATAGCTCAGTGAGGCTGGGAGTTCAATTCCTCACTGTGCATCCCATAAGAACCAACCTATGCGACCTTGGGCAAGCTGCACAGTCTCAGGATGCCCCCAGAAGAAGGGAATGGTAAAACAATTCTACCTAGAAACCCCGTAAAAGGGTCAGCATAAGTCAGAATTGACTAGATGGCACCAGCAAAGCACTGAAAATATGTGCCGTTATCTTGTGCTGGGACTCAATGTTTATTAATATACATAACATACATAGTTTTCCTTTCCTTTTGCTGGCAACTAACAGTGTCACAAGTGGTGTTTTAAAGCAACCATAGAAACTTATATGTCAGTGCAAGCTGGTGTATGTGTCAGGGTCAAATCAGACACTATAGTTAGTATACCACTAGAAAATTAAAGCCTTTCAAGGAACCAGTTCTTCCCCAAGCATCATCATGTTTGGGCACTAGAATGCAGCCTGCTGATCAGCCGTACAACAAAGCACATTTTTTAATCCTTAAAGAAATGCCATTTCTAACAATGACCCATCTGTAGCGTCTTGTTTGACTCTCAGAAGACTGCCTTGCAAGGGTAGTTTTCCAAATCGGGAGGCAAAGGAAAATGTTGTCTGTTAAAATATTTTAAAGGACCAAAGGTACATCAGGTGGTGCTGTATTAGCAAAAGTTCCAAGCGAAGGAATTAAAAAGAAGTTTGAGAAAAGAGTTTTGCACACAAACCCATGTGATCCATTCTAATTTCTGAATCTTGGAAGAAGGTCACTTTTTAAACATTTCAAAGCTTCATACAAATCATTTATAGCAATTTTAACCTGGGTGGGGGATAACGTCAATCAGCAAAGGCTGTAGGACAGCATGTTTTCACTTGCCAGAAGAATACTAGTTATTTGTTTTTCTGTTTAGTATATTATTCTGCATATACCATGCTCTCCCAGTGAGTTATAAAATACAGCAATTGCAAAAAAGAGAGAAAAAGGTGAAAAACGATGTTGTTATAAGAGCAGCAAACCTCTTTTTAATTCTTGTGAGTTTAGTTTGCACTGCAAAGCATCTCAATTAGCCACAATCACAATTTGTTGGGATCACAAATTAGCGCTCACTGTTTAGTAACACAGAAAATCTGTGATAAACAGCTTCCCTGCACTGATTCATCAAATATGCCACCCAACAACGAGCTCTCCCCTAAGGAAAGCTGAACAATGTAGTCTGGTTAAAGTGTTTAGATCTTATGACTGCTGAATATTTAATGAAAGAAGCGTATGCTTAGGTAAATGGTTCCATCTGTAGCGCTAAAAGCAGAGAATATCATATCTGAATAAACTTCAGTATGAAGTGGTTGAATAGTCTCTCATCTTTTCAAAAGGCTAAAGATTTAGGATTCAACTGCTCATTTAAGTGGAAGCATTCCTCTGAGGTGTCAGTTTTAGGAACATAGGATTCAACTGCTCATTTAAGTGGAAGCGTTCCTCTCCTGCAGCGAGCAGCGCAAGAGGAAGATGTCAGTTTTAGGAACGGTTAAGTGCCACTGAATCTCCATTTTAAGATTTTCTCTCTTCCCTTAGGTAAAGGTGTTCAGCTGTGTTCATCGTGATGCGCTGTCAGATAAAAACATAATCTGGATATTTTACATGCTTATTTTGAAAAATTAGAGGGTTAGAAACTTAATTCCGATTCAAAACAAAAAGATACACTTCTATGGATTCAGTTTTTTATTTGCCTGGGCATGGCTATGTAAGCTTCCACTTCATTGTCAAACTACATTCTTCCCACATGACAACTGCACATACATTCAGTGCTTTGCTGGTGTCACCTAACTACATTCTTCCCACATGACAACTGCACGTACATTCAGTGCTTTGCTGGTGTCATCTGGTCAGTTCTGATTTATGGTGACCCTTTTCAGAGAATGCTCAGAAGCAGTTTCCCATTCCCTTCTTCTGGGGACGCTCTGTGACTGTACACTTGCCCAAGGCCACATAGGTTGGCTCCATTCATAGGGTTCCCATTCCCTTCTTCTGGGGACGCCCTGTGACTGTACCCTTGCCCAAGGCCACATAGGCTGGCTGCATTCAGAGGGGGCACAGTGGGGAATCGAACTCTCAGCCTCTGGATCTGCAACCAGATACCTAAACCACTGAGTTATTCAGCTAGCTAGTTCTGCCTTTTACCATTGTATATTTTAAAAAGGGTCAAAAAAATCAGAGTTGAACAACTCTATGTATGATAAACAGAACAATAAACTTTTTAAAGTTGAAAGATCTTAAACGTGTGCACCTTTAAGGGCACATAAGTTCCAGTAGCACTTTCATATGAACCGATGAAAACTTGAAGTAGAGATAGCTGACGATATTCTTAATCCTTGCCTCCATGTGTTCCCTGTGAGGGGATGGAAAGGATACTTGCTAAATTCCTTGTTCTCTTTGATTTAGGCTGTCTCAGCATAAGAAGGCAATTCAATGAGGAATTACACACACACACACACACACACACACACAGAGAGAGGGGGATTCCTGCCTCCAACATAAGAATGAGATAAGGAGAATTCGCAATTTATATAGAAATGTAAATTGCATAAAAATGTAAATTGCAAATCTTGATGGGAAAGAAAAATGGTACTCCTTTTGGGGCCACTTTGTCTTGAAGAAGTAAATCAAACATATACAGCTTGTACAGAGGGAGAAGCTGATTATTTAAAAAGATGCAAAGAACCAATTCAATGCATCATATTTATAGCAGTCTACAGAGTCATGGCAACTGTTCAAAGGGCTGAACATACAGAAAGGAGCCAAATAAATTCTGGACAATAGTTCTTGCTTTCCCGGAGCTGTATCATCACTCAAGAGGCTTCTTTCATACATTCCAAACCCTCTTTCCACCCACTTGCTAAAATACCACTCCTCCACTTCAGTTCTACAATATGTTACAAATAAAATTCTACAATGTCTTCAGAGTGTTACCAGAATACCAATAAGCAAATCAAGTAAAAATTTCTGTAAAGGAGAAAATAACTTCCTCTTTCACTTTTCCCAGGTAACAAACTGTCCTACTGTGCTTATTGTTGTCCCCTTTAAAACAACAACAACATTGCTTGATGTTATCAATTTTATTATTATTTACTTTTTTATTATTATTTATCTTTGCTCTCATTTGTGCTTGCTGTCCCATGAAAAAGAGAAAGAGAACATAGATGTAGGTGGACATTTATGTGTATGTATCTATCTATACCCGAAGGGTGGCGTCAGTATCCTAAATAAGTAAATATAACTGCTATCACAATTTTGTTATAACTAAGGCTTCAGATTTTACTAACAAAGGTTTGGAATTCAGCTGGGTTGTTGCGGGGAGAAGGTGTCAGGAAGGTTAGGAAAGCTCTCTGAAACCTTGCAAATATACGTCTTTTGGTTTTAATGAAAAGCTGCCTATCCACTTGCAGGTTAAATAAATTTAGTTTGGTGTATAAACAACAACAAGGCAGTGGCAGCAAATGATGAAAAAGAAATTACATACCATAACATCCTCTAGAAATACTGCAGGCTTCTTGCTATAACAGTCTGAAGCTGTGAGTGGGTATCACATGAAAAAAAGAGAACTGTGTGCTTATATCCCATTTCTGTCCTTACATATTTCTGATTTTTCCCCCACAGCTATCTGAGAAAGATGTGATATTGTTGTTGTCTAAGCACATTTAAACTTCAGCTGAAATAACTGCCAAGTGATTCATGCCTATGTAGGTGAATATAACGATTGTATCTGGAGCCCCAGTGCGCCATTTTCATTTCACTTTAAATAAAAAACAAAATGTATCTATGTCAGTCAGTGCCCTTCTGCTGTACTCAGAGGTATCAAACAGGCTACAATTATGATTGTGAAGTGATTGTGTCACATTGGAGGAAGGTTTATTGCTTTCGAGTCTGCTAGGCAGTAACACATTCTGTTTCATATTACTCTTTATATCATTGTTTGGCTGTGACTGGAATAATCAAATGCCATCAAATACTGTCAAATTCAATTTACAGTATTTTCCACTTTCTCCATTATATTTCCTGTTTTCCCTTTCTCTGGCTGCTGTGGAATTGCAGCTGTGTAATCATCAGTGTTATTCACAGAACCAGCAGAGTGGAGCCATGTCTTGGACAATGAGAGGTACTTTATTTCCCTTTATACAGAGTCAAGGCTTAATGTATCTAGTCATACAATTAGCACAGGAAAAAAAGGGAAATATTTACCAAAAAAAGCAAACAAACAAAACCCAAGTGCGCTAGAGACTAGTAACAGCATTCAGCCGAACAACTGGCTGGGTAGCTCAGCTAAAGGGATGAATTTAAACTCAATGATACTATTATTTTTTTGCTTTTTCATTCTTCGTCTTTCTAGTGGTCTTAAGGCGCCGAGTCACAATATTATA